TAAGATGAAATAAACCTCAGGGCTGCCTTGATGTGCATTTATCATGTTATTAGTGATTTGGAACTTTTCCTGTGCATTTCCAGAACTTAGCATAGTTCCTGGAACATAGTAAGTGCATAACAAATGCTAGCTTACTGACTGGACTAGATGATTCTATGTTCTTCTAGATGAGATCTATTATCATTACAGATATATGATTAAAACAAAGGTCTCATAATCAAGTGAGATAATGTGGATAAAGTGCTTTGCTAACCTTAAGGAGCCATTTAAATACGAGCCATTATTATGTATTGAAGATGTAGTAAAAGGATTATTTCCTAAGCCCCTATCATGCTGGCTGGTCTAGTTTTCCTTTGACAGGTATTAAATAGTACCTAAGACACAACTGGTCCTAGGGACTAAGGCTCAAACCACTGACCTAGCTTCCTGGTGGCCTAAGCACAAAAGTCTATATAGGAAGAGTCAGGATCTCCTCTTTGAGGTTTCTGATCAATCTGACCTGCATGGCCAACAAAGAGGGAGGGAAATTGTGCCCAAATGAATTAATGCTGCATTCTTGCTGAATGGCTTTTCAATGCTATGGTTATACACTTACTTTTGTTAATCTGCCAGATATTTGACAAATGCCTCATTTTGTTCTAATCCTGAACTTGAACCCCTAGACAGGTCTGAGTTAGGCATGACCTATATAACACTGGATCTCCTGAATGTATGAGAAGGGAATAGGTGGGTTTTCACAAACGATCATTTACAGCAGTTCACTTTTATAGTCACATAACTGAGTAATGAATACAAGTCTTACTTATTGTTTTTTGACTACATAAAAAAGCATTTGGTAGAACAAAATGTGGATTTACACTCTCTTCTTTTTAACACATCTCCCATGGCTATCTCAAAATCATGTAAGATTTCCTGAAAGATGATAGCCAAGATAACTTGCTGGAAAATATCAACAATGCTTTTTTAAAACAAGGAGATTATTAGTGCTAAAGGCGTCTGTCAACATCACGGAGAATGTCCAACAGAATCCAAATGAAAGGATTCGCTGGTGAGGTCCTCCATATGCTCCTGTTTGCAGATCAGAGAATCATAGATATAGGGTTGGAAAGGGCCATCTAGTCCAAACCACCTTTTATAGATGAGGAAAGTGAGGCCCAGAAAGGTAAGGTGTCTTCTTGATTCTAAATCCAGTGCTCTTTTAACAGTTCAGCTTAGAAGACATTGTGCTGTGTGCATCATAAATAGATCTATAATCTTTCATAAGAATTCAGTTTAACTATCCACAGAGAAAAAAACAAATGGATGAAGAAAGTCTATTGCCTGGAAAATCACAAAGACTTGGATGATATACACTTGGATGATGGAGCTAACAGACACTGTAGATGCACAATGTGCTGGGCCTGGAATTTGACTAGAAGGGGTTAGGTTGTATTTGGGAAAATGCGCAGTGCTTTTTAACGATCTCAAATTTCTTTTTTTTGGGAGGCCTGTCTTTTTGCATGGATATTCTTCATGTGGTTCTATATCTAGGACATGGAATACCAGACTCCTTAAAATTAACATTGCAGGTCATCTAAAGGGAAATAGAAAAATGAAAGGTATGCAAAGGCCGCATAGCATATTACAACCAAGAAATGAGAAGGAGAAGTACCGATGTTATTCTCAAAAGAAATGTATGATTGGAAAAAAGTGGTAGGCTAGTCAAGTATAAAGTATAAAGAAAGCCATAATCAGTGGAGGTCCTAGGTACCCACACAATGTAAAGAGGAAGCCCCTTCACTCCTGCAGATAGTTTAAGGGAGGACATAGAGAAAATCTACACAGGATGAAGCGTGGGTTGAGCTACAGTTTGCACTCCTGGAGGAGAATATATACATCGCTGAGATCATCAAACAGATCCATCAAAGTATCAAAACATATTTGAGCAGTTACTTAAACAACAACAAACTCTTTTAGGACTTTTAAGTTTTGGCAACAATATACCTATAATGTTAGTAGTGCTAAATATTTTAAATATTATTCCCACTTTACAGATCAATAAAAAGACTCAGATTAAGTGGTTTATCTATAACCACATGGCCAGAAAGTTTTTAAGGTGGGATTTGAAGCTGTACTACACACATAGTAGGTATTTAATGAATTCTCTTTTTTAAGCAGTGAGTTTGACCTTTTCTTAAGTCATTAAGAAATCTTGCTTTGACTTCACATATATAATGGCTATTGTATTTCTTCCCTTCTCAATGGGTGGGGGAGGGGTGGAGAAAGAGAAATTTGAAACTGAAAATTTTTAAAGGAAAAAGAAATCTTGCTAGTTAATATTTTACAATATCAACATAAGCCTGTTTCATGTCAATTTGTAAGATAAATCATCCCTAACTTTTGGAGGTAGTGTAGCATGTATATATGTACTTTTAAGGTTACATACATTTTGTAAAAATTCACATGTAAATCTTTAAAACTACTTTGACAATATCTAAGTCTCTGCTACCTCAATAAACAGTGTTTGTTAAGTGTCATTATATACACCAACTATGTTTGACATTGCATATAGTTTTCTAGGACTTATGTACCCATACTTATGGGTACATATAGAAGATACTTATGTATCTCCTATAAAACAGCTGTGGATAATTTTATAACCCAAAGTTCTATTTCCTTTAAGACTCACAACAAAAATAAAACTGCTTCAAAGACATCAAAATATCTGTTTGAGGTATATAATACAACTCTATGATAAAGCTGCTGAGAAAGCTGAATAAATGACTGAAAAAGCAGGTGGTAGATACTACTGTTTTATCTGGTTTGTCACAGGACCTTGGACAGGGCAACAAATTTCAAATTAATGGCTTTGGTTTACTGATGCCTAAAAAAGATTAGTCAATTATTTGGTAATGATTAGAATTTAAGATTAGTCATCGTTTTCACAAAACAAAGAATAGGTCTAGGCAACTAGTATGGTGGAAACAGTTTTGGACTTATAGTCAAAGGACGTGGGTTCAAATCCCAATTCTACTATCTGATGTTAGGCAAGTCACTAACCTCTACGTAGATTTGTTTCTCATTTGTAAAATGAAAGGGTTGATCTAGATGGCCTCTAGGAGCCCTTAAAAATCTAAGTTTATATTGTGCTCTAAGAAATGATGAGCAGTGGACTTCAGAAAAAGCTGGAAAGACTTGTATGGACTGATGCTGAGTGAAGTGAGCAGAACCAAGAGAACGTTGTATACAGTAACAGCCATGTTGTTCAATGACTAACTTTGATAGACTTAGTCCTTCTCAGCAATGCAAGGATCTAAAGACATCTTCAAAAGTTTTATGATGGAAAATGCTATCCACATCCAAAGAACGAACTATGGCGTTTGAACGCAGATTGAAGCATACTATTTGCTCTTTTTTTTCTTCTGTTTTGTTTTGTTTCCTCTTTCTTGGGGTTCCTCCTATTGGTTCTAATTCTTCCTTAAAACATGACGAATGTGAAAATATGTTTAATAGGAATGTGTATGTATAGCCTATATCAGATTGCACGCCGTCTTAGGGATGGAGGTGGAGAAAAATTTAAAACTCAAAAGCTTATAGAAGTGATTGTTGATAACTCAAAATAAATTAATAAAAAAAACCCTAAGTTTACATAATTCTATGAACTACTTTACAGAGAAACCATGCCTTCAATGATATGCACACCAGGGCATTAGCAACAATATATCAAAAGCCACTAAAGGAGAACACAATAACAGCTTCTACAGAAATAAACTACCTTCAGGGTAGTTTTTCACATCCTCAGCTTTTCAAAAGTAATCAACCTTCTCTATATCAACATCTGCAGCCATGCACTGTCTCAGATTATTTACAATTTGTACCAGACCACTATCAAGAACAGTGTCTTTCTTCTACAGAAGAAAGTCATAGCATTTTTATGGGCTACAAATAACTGATGTTAGGAACTAATTGATAGATAATAAATTCTTCACTAATTGGTACTGTGGGCTATTCATTTTTCAATCTGCTAGCATTAAGTACAATGTGCTGGACATTAAGAGCCAAATCAATTCTTATTTGATCAGATTGAATCCAGTGATCTTTTCTTCAGAGCATGCCTGCTTAGTTGCAGGTTGTACACTATGATTAAGTGTAACTTTCCAAAGTCCACAAAGTAGAACTCACTTGTGAGGACTCCCTTGGTGATCTCACCCACTTCCATGGCTATAATTATCATGTCTGTGCAAGTAACCCCCAATTTTATATACCTAGCCATAAACTTTCCTGAGTTCCAGTTTTGTATTTCCAATTAGCTGCTACATACTCCAACCTCATTATGTCCAAAATGGAAGCCAACCTTTCTCACCCAAATCTGCTCCTCCTTCCAATTTCTCTATTTTTATTAATGGCACCATCTTTTTCCTAGCCATGCAGGTTTGAAATCTCAGAGCCATCTTTGATTCTTTCCTCCCTCTTATCCCTGATGTTTCATTAGTTTCCAAGTCTTGTTAATTCAGTTCCACACTATCTTTCACAGGTATTTTGAGCTCTCCTATCAAACTGCTACTATCTTAGTTCAGGTCATCATCATCTTTCATCTTTGCTACTGTAATTTTCTCTTGACAACTATAATTTTCTCTTAATTCTCTTCTACCTCACATTAATCCTTCCTATAGCTGCTAAATTAATCTTCCAAATTCACAGATATGATGCCCACATATAACTGCCTCCTCAAAAAGTTGTGGATCTAGAATTGCCTACAGGATAAAATCCATCTCTTCCTTCAAAGAAGGCTCAGCTTAGGTACTACCTCCTCCACAAAGCATCTCTCACTCCCTCAGATCAAAGTGATTTTTCCCTTGCCCTTATCACATTCTATCTTCTATCAATTACAGTAGCCCTGTCACAATCTCTCTTATTAGGTTGTAACTCCTCAGGACCAAGGACTGTGTTTTTCTTTACTTTTGTATCCCCAGTCTTATAACAGAGCAAGTGTTTCATTAAATGAACTGAGGTTTACTCACTGATCTTCTGTTCCAAAAAACTTCACAAAGAAGCACTTCTTTCCACGAGGTTTCTTCAAGTCTTTGGGTGGATTTACAATCTAAAGGACAAAAGAGAAAAAAAGGTTCAGTTATGACAACTGAAATAATATTTATTAAGCATATATGTGAGACACAATGCTAAACACTGGAAAAACAAAGAAAAAATAAAGCAATATCTGCTCTCAAGAAGCTTACAAAGCCTACCAATAGAAAATTTTCCTGTATCTCTAGCTTTCCAGAGAAAAACACATGAAAAACACTATTGAGAATTTTTACTAAAATATCCTTTGCCCCAGGCATGCCCTTCTACATATATTATTTTTCTATTGTGATAAATGAAAACTTCCAAATATCTAAGAGTTTATAGACAGATAACTATCATGTAACAGAGATGTTCAACTACTTCAAAAGTGATATCAACTACTTGGCAAGATTTCTTTATTATTAGAGCACATCAGAATAACGCCAGTAATATTTAACAGTTGGCATTTCAATAAGAGCCATGTACATGTTGTTGGAAACATGGTCAGAATCCTCCAGAAAGTTGATCAAAGTACAGAGGGAGAAGCAAGTGACAAATAAACAATTAAGAGCTATGGATTCATAAGGACTCCAGATTAAAAAAAAAACTGACAAATATTTCATTAACCTGTATCAAATTAAAAAAAAAAAAAAAGAGGACCGAACAATATATATGGACAGACCCTTCAGCATTGCATCTAAGATGCTAAATCTTGAGGGGTTAATTGGTGCTATAATCAACAGGATCATAGAACTGGAAATGAGCCAGATTATAGTGTTCAACTTCCTCAGACAAGGAAACCGAGGCCCAGAGACAAGTGACCTGTCTAAGGTTATACATAGAATAAGCAGCACAGTCAGCATTCAAATACAGATTTTCTTGACTGCATATTCACTTGGTCTACTATAATTCCCTGCCCCTCTCTGCCATTTTGCTAGAAACAAAGATCTTTAGACAGAAAAGATTTTGACTTTTGACTTCACAAATCTTAGTTTCTCTCTCTCATGATTTAAGTCTTTTCAAACACTTAAAAATACAGAGATCTAAAATAAAGTCAGAATTTTGTTTCCTGGGTAATTTTACCTCTCCCTCCAAGTTACTTTTTTAATAGAAAGACACAGATTCCCTTATTTTCCGAATCAAGAAGAGATTCTGATAGGCACAGCTTCATCCACACCAAAGTCAAAAGAACTGTTAATTACTTGGACTTTCGGCAATACATTTAGTTTTTCCTACAACTTTTTGAAATATTCCTCTAGCATAAAGACACTTACCTTTCCTGGCCAAGGAGGATACCTGCCCAGCTTCCCCCTAAAGAAAAAGCAAAGAGTCAGCTACTTATACTCGAAAAGCCTGCCCATCCACTTCAACCCACCTTGCCTATAATTTAGCTCCCAAATCTGTGTTCACACCTTCTAAGTCCAAGAACAAAGCTTGCAATCCTCTCTACACCGAGACTTCCCTCTTCTCTTTCAAAGTGCAGTTTTACTGTTTCAAACGAAGCCTTCTTAGTATCAAGAAATGAATTATACAAGCCAGTAGCAGTAACAGTAAATCTTTTTTTCTCTGGCAGTCCAGGGGCCACGAGGGGAGGATAAGAACATACTGCGATCCCTGCCAGGCTCAGAGCGCACAAGATAAGTCCCTCCCCCCACTATTTCTTCATAGAACTGAGCCAACGGTCCGGTTTCAACACCAGAGTCGGTTGGTCCCCGCGGAGTCGCCGCCGCTGCGGTTCGGTCCGGTTACTTCGTTGCGCAGCTAGATAAAGACCTGTCCCACCAAACGAGCCGCAGGGCTTGGCCACCTGGATCTCCCTGCCAGAGAGTCCCGACTCGACCCCTGGGACACGGTGACCCGAACAGCGTACGGTCTGAGCTCACCCCATGGCACCAGCTGGCGCCGGCAGCGCCCCACTGGCCGCACTCTCCCCCTTCCAAACCCGGGCACCCGGAGACGCCCCAGGGAGAGCCTTCGCAGCGGGGCCTCGGAACGAAGCGGCAATCCATTGAGGCCACCCTCTGTCTCCGGCAACTCCCCCTCCCCCCAGGGCCGGGCTGCCCCTTCCGTCCGGTGCCTCTCCCCACCCCAGCGCCCCCTCCCTCGGTGCCGCCTCCGTCCCTCAGCTCCCTTCCTCGCTGCCAGCCCCTAGAGACAAGCCAGAAAGCTCAGAGCCTCCGGGGCTGGGGTCGGGGTCTGAAGCTTGGGGCAGAGACCCAACGTTCCCTGCTTTCCCCATCTTCCCGAAGGGGCCCCGCCGCTACTCACCATACCAAGTCTCCGAGCCGCAGACTCACAGTCGCCATCTTACCGACTTAACCACCCACAGCGCACGGGCAGCCGGGACTTCAGGCCGCCTCGGTGCCGCCCATTGGCGTGGCTCTTTCCACGTGACAGGGGCCGGCTGTCATTCCCACGCTGCTCCGTGACGCCACCGCGTCCCCGAAAGGCATTGGGTAGCTTGGCGGCACGTGACCTCAACGCCGGGCCTCCGCGCGCCGAACCCCTAGACTTCCCGTTACCCCTCCCCCCCTTTTTCACTGCCCCCCCACTCCCCCGCCTCCGGCGCGTGATAAGCGAGCGCCCCCCGAACCGTGACGGCTGTAGCTGAGAGGACGGGATCGTAACGGGGGCGGCTACGACTGTGGGGACGCACGGAGCCGAACAGCTGACAGATCCGGCCGCGCGCCTTGCCCCGCCCCCCCGGCAACGCCGGTAACCCTCCCCCGCCCAGGGCCCCGGGACAGCAGTTTTCCCCCTTCCGTCCGTTACGGCGGTTGGTCTCGTTGCGCCCCATCCCCCGCTCCCACCCCACCCGCGGCTCCTGGAGCCGTCCCCTCTCTATCCTAGCTTGCACTGTCCGGCTAGAGCCCGAGCCTGAGTCCTTGTTCTTTCCCCAGCCCATCACTGGGCCGGTCCTCTGCTTTCGCCCCAGGAGTTCCCGGACGGAGCCTTGGACTTGTTCCCTCCGTGCGGCCTGGAGTCTAGTCCTTAGTCTGCACCTGCGCCTTCGGCTGTCCCCGGCCTGGGGTGGGTTGGGGACGGTGTCCTGCGCTCCTTACGTCAATGTAGCAGCCCCTGTGCCCCGGGGCGGGGGAGGCTGCTGGGGTCACTGCTCCCCCTAGGGCTGGGGATGAGGCGACCTCTCTTGTAACTAGCGCTTGGAGATGCTGCCTACTCCCTGGCCTAGGAGCCCGTCGTGGGCTGCGTCCGGCTGTGCAGAGCGCTCCTCGGCACCTCGCTTAGTTTGGAGCACCATGCCTCCCGGGGCTATCAGTGCCGCTCGAGCCACCTTAGCCACGCTGCTAAAGCCTGCGTCCGGAACAGCAAGTTTGCAACGATAACTGGAAGTCTTCCTGTTTTCTCTTTAGTTGTTTCAGGTGTCTTGAGGGCATTTCTTCTGAAAGGGCTTTCTTAGGACTCGCCATCTCTGGGAATGGGGCATTGAGGCTAGATGGGCAGCACGTTTGTAGGCATGCTCCAAGACCCAACGGACAGACAAAGTTGTGGCATATGGGTCTCACCCCATCATGAGGAAAGCCAGCTGGAGATCAGGTCCATTTCGAGGTGCTATATCTCAGAACGGCACTTGTGACAAAGGTGTGTTTCATTTTTGTTTGATATTATTTTCTAAGTGGTATATTCTGTAACCTCAAACTGACTTTAGAAATAAAATCTTATAAAGGGGAGGAGTTAAAATGTAGTTAAATATAAAAAGAAATATACACTTAAGAATTGTAACTAAAACAACTCCTATGGACTATCCAAACTCTATTTTGCACTGGAATTTTGTTATATTATTCCTGGAAATGAGTAAATGGGTGATGTTTTGGGGATTTAGTGACCTTGTTATGCAGATTTTCTTGTAATGTTGTTTGTTGTAATGAGGTGTCGTCTGTATGTGCAATAACCTAGATCATCTTTGGAGATTACTTTCTCAAGTGATTTAATTCAAAGAAATGTAATTTAATTTTTCATAAGAAAAATTTTCGTAAGAATTATGAATTTTCTTTTTTGAGATTGTAGGCTGTTTTTTAGGTTGTTATCTAGGTTTGACCTGATTTTCTCTTTCATGTTGACAGAAGCCATTGCAGTAGCCACTGCCAAGACTTGAGTGTAGCCATGACTGAGCCCCACAGGGTCCAGTTTACCTCTCTCCCAGGCCCTCTGAATCCTACATTTCTGAAGAAACCCCGAAAAGAAGAGATTGGGGGAGCAGAGCAGCACCAGGATTCTGAACCCGCTGCAGCAGCTGTTCGAATCACACTTACCCTCTTTGAACCAGATCATAAGCGCTGTCCGGAGTTCTTCTACCCAGAGCTAGTGAAGAATACAAGGGGAAAAGTGAAAAATCTTCAAGTTGGAGACAAGGTACACTTACTTCATGCTAGCATGTCATTCTGTTGAACTTTCCAAAGAGTCAAAAAGGTACAAATATAGTTTTTACAAAATTCTGCCAGGCAAAAAAATAAAATTAAAGTGGTTCTAACTTTGTACAAGATCATATTATCAAGTTAAAAATAAGAACTAGGCTTGTTGCCATATTTGTTGAATTAGGACTAAAGCTACAAACTTTAGTCTGTCAAGGACACTAGAATACTACTGTCCCAAGTTGTTCTAGGAAAAATGTGAGAGATGACTTGGGCTAACTTAAGTTGTCTAGTTAAAGATAAATGAAAAAGAAGAGATAGGGACAGAAGAACTCTTCCATGTTGAGCTTGTGAAAGTTGAAGCAATATGGTATAGTGGACAGAGCTCTAGACTTGGAATCAGGAGAGCCAGGTTTAAATCCCGTCTCTGACACTTAATAGTGAACTGTGAACATTACTTAGACTGCTCTAAGGCTCATTTTCTTCATCTGTTTTCTAATATCATCTTATAGCTCTTCTCCTTTTTACAGTTCAGTTTCTTGAAAAGGCTGTTTGCACTCATTCCTTTCCTTTTTCAACCTCTTGCATTGTAGCTTCCAACCTCAAATTATCAGTTTGTAACTGCTTTTTCTAAAGTTGCTATTGATCTTTTAGTTGTTCATTCTAATGGTCTTTTCTCAGTCCCCTTCTTTCTTATCTGCCATGTAGCATTTGACACTGTGACTACTCTTTCTTCTTTGTGGATTCTCTCTCCTATCTGTATTTTCATGGTACTCTTGGTGCTCCTCCTACCTGTCTGGCCCCTTCTCAGCAAAAGTCTGGGTTGTCATACATATTTTCTCTCCCAATTGTCTTGAGCGCTCTTCTTTTTTTTTTGTTTTTTTTGTGTTTTGTGTTTTTTGTTTTAGGCAATTGGAGTTAAGTGACTTGCCCAGGATCACACAGCTAGTGTCAAGTGTTTGGTCTGAGGCTGGATTTGAACTCAGGTCCTCCTGACTCCAGGGCCAGTACTCTATCCACTGCGCTACCTACCTGCCCCTTGAGCTCTCTTCTGTGCTCTCTCACTTGAGACCCATTATTTTCTCTGTGAAGTTGACTCCCAATTTTACCTCATCTCTCTCCTCATCCCACATCACTAACTATCTGTTAGACATTTTAAGAGTTTCACTTTCTGTCCAGTCAGCCATGTTTGGTACCTTGGAAGCATCGTCATTTCTTCATTCTCTGTCACCTGGTGCCCCCCCCATCCCCCCTAGTAGTGAGGCTTGTCAGTTTTCCTCCACAATGTATTTCACATCTGTCTTCCTCTCTCCATTCAAAGCCACCACTTTTGTTAAGGCTTTCATCATGTCTCTCCTGGACTACTTCAGTAGCCTCCTAATTGGTTTCCAAGTTTTTAGTCTCTTCTCTTCCCAGTCCTCCACATAGTTGCAAAATCAACATTCCTAAAGCACGTCTCACCATGTCATTGCTCTTTCTTAGAATTCAGATGGTTCCTAGTTGTCACTACGATAAAATACAAACTCCTCTAGCATTTAAAGTACTTTGCAACCTGGTTCTAGCTTGCCTTTCTAAACTTATTACTTATTATTTCCTTCATGCACTCATTCCAGCCAAATTGACCTACTTTTCTTCATTCTTAACATTCCGTCTCCTACCTGGAAACTTTTGCACAACCTTTCCCCATGCATACAGTGCACTCCCATCTCAGAGATACCTCTTAGAATCACTACCTCCCTTCAAAGCTTAGCTGTAGTGCCACTTCCTCCATGAGGCCTTTCTGATTTCCTCCCAATCTTGCTGCTAGTTCCTCTCCTCCATCTCCCAAATTATCATGTATATATTGGTATTTGCTTTTCTATGTTCATATGTTCCCCCAATAGAATGGAAATTCTTTGAGTGCAAGACTGACTTGTCTTCATATTCCCAGTGCTTGTTGATTGATTGATTGTTAAATGGGGGTAAGACCTTTAATACCTATCTTACAGGGTGATCTTGAGTATCAAATGAGATAATATATGTAAAATAGTTTGTAAACCTAAAGTGTTGCATGTAGTAATTCTAACAACTAGTTCCCTTTTTATCTTCAAGAACACCATCCTGTTCTGGTTTCCATTTGGAAAAAGTGTCTGCCTGGTGTGGGGGCAGAGAAGAGAGGGCAAAAATCTTAGCTCTTCTCTAACCATATAAGTACGTTGGATAAGTCTTTCCTTGAATAGTTATAAATCTTCTGTGTTTCTAGAA